TTTTTTTTGGTACCAGGGATCAAACTCAGGACCCTCCTCTTGCAAGGCAGGTGGCGGAACCACTGAGCTAAATCCCCGGCCCTGCCATAAGTATTTTATTAGCACCCTGAAGCAACTTCAAGAACAATGGATTAGAAACCCCATCTATGGCCACATTCAGCTTCCCCGTGTACACAGCTTAATTCTTAAGTGTAAATCACTCACTGGGAATTTACTGACCAACCTTCCTCTCAAATACTTAGTTTTTATTGCCTAGATTTTGTATGGTTCTTTTTTTTTAAATGTTAACACCAGTGCTTGTGCCTAATTGATCAGTTTTGCTTGAGTATTGGGCCTTGTGTATGCTAGGTACAGGCTCTACCACTGAGCTACATTCCCAGTCCTGGTTGTGCCTAATTGAAATTATTTTTATATTATTCTTAGAGGCAAGAAAATGGAATTGATAGTCTTTATTATCTTTTAGGACTCTTCTTTCTTTTTTCCATCACAGTTTCTTAAGATAGCAGAACAAGTATGTTGTTGCTCTGTGTGGAAATTCAGGGTAGGACATTAGATCTCTGGCGAAATTAGACTTTTTCAGTACCTTTTTGCCCAGTACCATTTTGTGTACCTGGGGGTCAGGAAGCTTGCATGTTTCATTTATACCTTAACATCATTTGTGAAGCAAAATCAGAAGACAACCAAAAAAAGAGAAAAAACTTTTTGTACCGTGTATGACAAAGGACTGATGTCCTATTTATATGGCTATGAAGTTTGCTTTTAAACTGACAAGCAAAAGATCACTGCTTGTTTTGGGCTGTGATAACATTCCATAGACCTCAGTAAACAGAAATATACTTTTTTTTTTGGTACCGGGGATCGAACTTGGGACCTTGTGCTTGCGAAGCAGGCAGTGGAACCACTGAGCTAAATCCCCAGCCCTAGAAATATACTTCTGTAAGTAAAATAGCTTTATAAGCCTTATAGTTTTGGAGGCCAGAATATCTGGGACCAGGCTGCCAGCTTGGTCAGGTTCCAGTGAGAGCCCTGATTGAGAGCAGACCCTCTTGCTGCATCCTTGCATGGGGGAGAGCAGAGAGAGGAAGCAGGCCCTCTCCTGTTTTCTAAGGCCACTGATCCCCGCACGAGCTGCATCCCAGCCTCCCAGAGGTCCCATCTCCAAACTCCATCACCGTGGGGATCAGGGTTCCGATATAAAAATTTTAGGTGTTGCAAACATTCAGTCCATGGCAACCACTAGACAGAAAAATGGGCAAAGAACATGCGTAGCTCACAGGAAAGGAAATTCAGTTTGCTTTTAACTTTCAGAGATAGCCAGCCTCTTTCATAAAAAAGGCAAATTAAGGGCTGGGGATTTAGCTCAGTGGTTCCAGCGCCTGCCTCAGAAGCGCATGGTCCCGAGTTCAATCCCTGGTACCAAAAAAAAAAAAAGGCAAATTAAAATTAAAATGAGTTCTTATTTCTTGCCTATCAAATTGGCAAAGATCAAGCAGTTGGAGTGTGTAACTTGGTCAGGATACAGGGAACTAGGCACTCACACTTTGGTGAAGGTACAAATTGGAGCAGCTGCTTTGGGAAGCATATTGGTGACTCGGATGGCTTGTTTACAGCTACAGTCCTTTGATCCAATAATCCCATTTCCTGAATGTATTCCAGAGAGTTCTCTGCACAGTGCACAGACGCAGGTGATCCGTGTAGCAGTGTCTGCAGCAGCAAAGGGCTGGAAACAGTCAATGTGCACTGATTCTCCAAGAAATAAGCTTTAAAGGCAAGGTGGAGGGAGGAAGAAATGGGGAATGACTCATTAATGGGTGTAGGAACTCCCTTGGGAGCATGAAAGTATTTGAAACTGGATGGAGTTCATAGTTACACAACTGTGATTGTACTAAGTATAACTCAGTGTCATTAAAATGTTACTTTTTAAAATGTTTTTTTCATTTTCTTCAGTCTTGCTCTGTAGTCCAGACTGACCTGAGGCTCACTGTATAGCTCAGGCTGGCCCTGAATTTGTGATCCTCCTGCCTCAGCCATCTGAGTATTGGGATTACAGGGGTGCACCAATGGGCCCGGCTCAAAAAGGGTTAATTTTTTAATTTGTGAATTTTATCTTAATTAAAAAAAAAGAGAGGGCCAGGGATTTAGTTCAGTGGCTCTGTGCCCCCCTCGAAAACGCAAGGTCCTGTGTTCGATCCCTGATACTGCAGAAAAAAAAAAAGAAAGAAAATGTAGAGTAGGATTTTTTTATCCTTTAAAGATTAAAGAATGTGGTTGGGACAAGAAATGATAGATGCATAAGTGCTTGTAGGCCGTGGGTTATCTTTGGGTAGATATACCAAAAACTGGTTAATGTTACTTCTTTTGAGGGGAACTGGGGAACTGGGGCACCGAAGGAAGAGGAAATGTGATTTTTGTGTTGTTTGTATTTTCTAGGAAATTTTATTCTGCCTATGGATCTGGTCAAAAACCTTTCGATCTACTCAATCCAAACTTCAAGTCTGTCTGTCAACGGTAAGCCATTTTCAGGTCCCCCCTTCCCTGCCAAGGATTTCGCTGTCAGAATGAGAAGTTCTGTTGAATTCTCCTTGAGAAACAGACATAGCCGTTGGAGGAGCTGTTGAAGATGTGCTCAGTGCTAGGATGTCACATCTTGACAGCCCTGACAAAGTGGCTGAGACACAGCTGCTTGGAATTCCAGGTTTGTGGAGAAGTACGTTGAGCTACAGAACCTTGGAGAAACAGATGAAGAGAAGTTATTTGTGGAAACAGGAAAGGCATTGTTGGCAGAAGGTGTCATTTTAAGACGAGTAGGAGAAATGAGGACTGTGAGTACTTTATTGTTAAAATTGTTTTTGTTGGGCTCTGGGTGTAGCTCAGTGTAGAGCACTTGTCTCACCTGCATGAGGCCCTGAGTTTGATCCCCAGCATCCACAAGAAGGTACCCTTACAGTTGAAATTTTTGCTTCCTTAGCAGAAGTTAAAGAGCAGTTTGGTGTTCTTTCCCCAACCTTGGTTCACGTTCTCAAACCCCAGGTCAGGATCTGGCTGAGTGAGTGTACTGGAATTGTGGTCGTCACTGCTATTTGGAACAAGTGAAGAATTAGCAGGGCTCTCCAAAATACGATTCTGTAGACGTTTTTAGTATCATGTTTACCATTTGCCATAAAAGAATTTGACAAGATATTAGTGCTAAATTTTTCCTCAGTGGCAAAACGTGCTTCATCACATGGCCGCAGCCAGTCGAGTGACAATGGTGACATCTGTGTGACACGCTTCTGTCTGGTCTTTTAAGCAGCAAGAAAGTAGTTACATAGATGTCAGACCCCAAGCTGTGTTGGACGGAAACCAGCCCGAGGAAGAAGGCAGCCAGGACCAGCATTCGGAGGCACCCAAGGAGCAGTGGAAAGGTCCCCCTGCTCCCTGAAGGACTTGTGTACTGTGTACGCGGACAGCCACGCTGCGCGCTGGAGGAGGGAGCTGTTTCTAACAGTTGGGCTATGTAAATGTTCCCTGATCTCCAAGGTGCTGTGTTTGCCTTCTCTTAGCTCCCACTTCTGGGTTGTCATAAGCCCTCTATCGTGGTTTGTAAAAAGCGGTTTATGAACTTTTATTTTAGGACATCTCTAAATAAAGAATTCCGTACTGCTGATAAAGTAAATTTACTCTGAAATTGTAAATAACATGTATATGTGCTGCCAAGGTGAGCACTGAAATTATAAATAACACGAAGAAACCCTTAGCAGGACTGTTTGAATGGGACTTTCTCTGAGTAGGGTGCTGGCTTGTGGTGAGTTGCGTTTGTCCCCTGCTATGAATCTTGTCTGGGGCCACCAGACTCTTCCTCGCGCACATGGTCCCAAGCCAGCTGTGTACAGTTACTAACGTCACCCTGAGAGGCCAAGCCAACCTGTGCTTTGCAGTGAGGACGGACTGTTGATGATGGATGGAGGCTCACACTTTAGTGTCATGGATTGAGTGCATTGGAGACGGCTGTGTGCGGAGTGGGCTGCTCAGTAGATGTTGTTGAATGAATGAGTGAATGAGTGAATGAATATATGAATATGTGATTACACATGCAGATGGTGTCCCTCTAGGTCCCTGGATCCGTGGGTGGTTGGGGCAGTTGATTCAGACGACACTCTCCATGAGCATCTGGACTCCCTGGCTGTGCTCAGCCCTCACTAGCTGTCCTGGTTTCCCCATTTCCTGTGTTGTAGTAAGTAAATGAAATACTCCTCAGACTGTAGCTGAGATTGTACTTGTGACCACGTTAAAATTTTCAGGTAATAGTAATAAGCTGCTGCTTCAGAAATTCCTTATTTTAAAACTCATGAAGCTTTTCTATCCAGAGGTTCTTTCTGGTGGGCCGAAAGGCAGGGTCCACATCTCACAGCCTGTCCCCCTGCCTGCGTACTCAGTTACTGAAGGTCAGCGAGTCCCCGAAGCAGAAGCAGTTCTCGGCCCTTTCACTTGCACTTCTGCTTCTGCTTCTGCCCAGTTTGTCACTTTACAATTCCTTGTGTTTGGGGAATGCTTCGCTTTTAGATGAGGAAGTCACTTTCATTCTGTCAAAGATACTAGTAGGAAACCAGCTGGCCGTGGTGACCCACGCCTGCATTCCCAGTGGTCAGGAAGCTGAGGCAGGAGGATCACTGAATTCAAGGCCAGCCTGAACTACAGACCAAGACCCTGTCTCAAAAAGCAGAAATACAAATGCCATTAGGCGACCGTTGGCTACAAGTACCTGGCCAGACCTTGGGAAGAGGACCTACAAGCCAGTGAAGGAGGAACAATGGGTGGGTGGGTGGGGAGGTGCCACTCATCTTTCTCTTGGGTTTCAGGTTATAAAAAGCAGTTTCCTTGACACAATGATAAGACTTACAAAGTCCTTGCACACTTAAAACAACTTAGATACGTGCATGGTTCAGAATTTAAAGGTAGAAAGCCCTTCTACCTCTGTTCCCCCGCTATCCACCTTACCCCTGGGCTACCATGGTCCCCAATTCTTTGGCCTTCCAGAAATATTTGGGTGTGAGTATGGGGACCCTGTATACTGTTCTGTACCTTGTTTTTCCAGTTAATATGCCTCATCCTTTTTTATGGGTGCTTTGTGATACACCCAACGCCAGAGTGACAGTGATTGTTTCTAGGTTTGACTGTACTGAGTGGGCCACTACACTGAGGAGGAGCCATCTCCAGTTGTAATAATAACCTCAGTTCTCCTCACCACCAGGGTATGAGAATGGGACTCAGGAGGAGGGACAGGAAGAGCCTCTCAGCATGGGGAGGCAGCTGCTGTCACACAGTGCCTTCTCCAGGGACAGCCTCAGTGATCAGAAGACGGGGAAGGTGTGAAGTTTATGTGGGGAATTCAGAACCTTTCCTGCAGTTTGGGGAAACGACTTCATCAGGCCCCTCTGGTGTTCTTGGGGAGAATGGAACTCTGACCTCATTCTTTTCTTTAAAAAGCTTAAAATTGGCTGGGTGTGGTAGTGCAGGCCTGTAATCCCAGCACTTGAGAGACCGAGGCAGGAGGACACCACAAGTTCGAGGCCAGCCTGGGCTACACAGTGAGTTCAAGGCCAGCCCGAACTACATAGTGAGACCCTGTTTCACACCTCCCCCCCAAAGTTTCAAATCAAGTTGGGAAGGCAAGAGTGATGAGAGTCAGCAAAATGAGCCAGAACCCTTTTGGACTGTGATTTAAATGTGTGGTAGAAGTCCAGGGTAAGGGCTCAGCGCTGAGCTATGGCAGGAGGAGCTGGCAGGGCAGACGCAGCGCTGTGTGCACTCTGCTGTGGTAGAAGCACCCTCCCTGCCACTGTGGCCTTGGAAATGGCGTCTGCAGTGCCCGTTTCAGATGGTGTGTCCGCTTCTAGGTAAAGGGTGGCTTGCCACTTAAAAACATTCAGATGGGGTGGGGGAGAAGGGAGAAGGGGATGTAAAAAGAAATAAGAGGTGTTATGTACACGTACTGACTACCTCCAATGAATGTATTCATGATGTACCGCAAACACGTACTAATACAGTTTTTAAAAACTAAAAAGTAAAAACATTCAGAAGATTAAAAAAAATTTAAACAGTGGTATTCAAGTGGGATGATACAATTTTCCCTGAGAGCCCAGGGGTGACCTGTGCGCTGTGACCAAGCCTGACTCCGCCTCCGGACCGGGATGAGTCCCAGTGAATTGGGGCAGGGGACCCAGGGGTGCCGAGAGGGAAAGCCAGCTGGCCCTCCCTCGGCCAGGGTGCCACGCAGGCAGCGACAGGGAGAGGCAGCGGAGTGAGCTCAGGCAGGGAGTCCAAGACTCCTTCCTCCTGCTCTGTTCCTGAGCTCTGTTCTAGAACAGCCAACAGGTGAAAGTGACTCTGGCGGTCAGTCTCGTGTGTCAGCTTCTGACTGCGCTCAGAGAGAGCAGGGAAGCCTGGGCAGGTTCAGTGAGCGACTCGGTTGAGGTCACCTTGGCTGGCAGAGGAAGGGCATCTGCCCTCCTGTGGGAAACACAAGAAATGGCTTCCCCATCACTCCGAGGGTAGCTCAGTGTGACCAGCGCGTCTGTGATTGGGTGAGCCCGGCGCTGAAGCAGTTTCTGTGGAGATTCTGAAGCAGACAAGCGGTTATAGCTGGAGCACGGTAATGAGGAGGTTGCTAGGGAAAGTGAAGGAGCCAGGAAGTAAGTGTTATATCTCCTAAAAATATCGCCCCCGTCCACCACTGCCACTTTCTACCTGGAAGTTGACAGAGGCAGTTTTTGTTGAATTGCCAGCTGACAGTGAAACTACATCTCAAGTGTAGTTTTGCCCTTGATTGACACTTCCTGGATTGTAATTTAAACGTCAGTCACTTGACCTTCTAGTCGCCCAGTTCTTTTAATTAGAAGATGGTTCTAAGCAACATCAGTGGTGGTCTATTTATTATTTATCAAGCATTTTCCTCCCGGCAGTTAGTAAAAGGTCAACGGCTTCAATGGATGCTTTGTTTTTGGTGAGTAGCTCAGACGAAAAAGATACACAATCAATCTCTGCTGCCTCCTGTTTGCTCGCGGGCAGGATACTATTTAATAGTCACGGTGGCATTTAGGATCGCGGGTCTCGCACACATGCGGCAAAGTGCATGTGCATCCCTTGCTGCTGAGCATTTCTCCAAAAGTAAACATCAGGTTGTGATTATGGTTCATAATGAGCTATTGATTGTCTGAAAATGTCACCGCGGGAAGCAGTCGGCCCCGGCACCACGAGGTGGCGCTGCGCTCTCACGCTGTTTAAACCGCTCCCCTTCCTCTCCTTGCCTCTGGGTACCCTGCCTTTCAAGGTTGACGAATGTCCTTGTAAAATAGCGTTCTGGCGGAGATTTAGGGAGCCGAAGTCCTGGGGCGCTATTGGGATGGAGTAGGGATGGGAGGGGACAGGCCATGGGGACAAATGACAAAGGCCTGCGGGCGTCGCGCCGTCAGAGGGGCAGCGGAGGAACCGGGAGCTGCGCCGCGCCCCTTGAGACCCTGCCCGAGCAGTGTCCCCACCTTCCCGACAGCGACAGCGACCAGCACCCGCCTGTCTTTGCTGGCGGTTGGGCGTCGGCGGGCGGGGAGCGCTGGGTCGGAAAGGGGCCGCGTCGCGTCGGGACATTCAGCCCCCATTCCCCTACCCCAGCACGCAGTTAGCCTCCCCTTTAGCACCCAATAAATGGGGCAGTGAATATTTTAGAAAATGAAAAGCAAAAAGAGCAAAGGAGAAAGAAAATCAAACCTCTTGGGAACTTGTCCACTCCCGGAACTTACCCAATGCTGGTAGATTTCACTGAAAAACTTGCTTTTATTTAGCTGTTTCTTAGCGTTTATGTGTGTGTGCAGAAAACTGTTTTTGCAGTGCTGGGGTTTGGAACCCAGGGCCTCATGCATATAGGGCAAGTGGTCTACCACTGAGCTACACCCCTAGCTCTAGAAATTAGTTTCTTTTCTCTGTTTTTCTTTTTTTGAGACAAGGTCTGGCTATGTAGCCAAATCTGGCCTCAAACTTGCCACCTTCCTCCCTCAGCCTCCTGAGTGCAGGCGCGCACCACCACGCTTTGTGGTGGGTGGTACATTCCTGTAACCTCAGCACTGGGGAGGCTGAGGCAGGAGGATTGCCGTAAATTTGAGGCCAGCCTGGGCTACATAGTTCAAGGCCAGCCTGGACTAGGGAGTAAGACCCTGTTTTAAAAAGAAACAAATACAACAAAACAAAAGAGATAAAAAGGAATCAGAATCTTAATGTCTTAACGCCACATCTCTCTTCTTTCCTTCCGCATGGCTCTCCCCCCACCCGCCTTGGGCACACTTTTTTGCGCCCCACCCCGCCCTGCAGCCCACATTACGGAGGAAAGCTGGCCGGTTGCTCCCTAGAGGCCCAGCTACAGAGAAGGGTGCAGCTTCTGAGACATTGTTCTTGGGGCCTGGAGCTGGCCAGCAGTTGGTGCGAGAGCTGCCCTGTCTTCCTGTGAAGGCGTGGGGCGGCCACAGGTGCCAGGGCTGAGCGGTGGGCAGAGTGGGGAGGCTCCGTCCTCACCCTCGGCTCTTGAAAGTGCCTCCTCCCCCATTGCATCCTAGTCGCCTGCAGCTAGCTGGAAAGCCGCAGGAGCACAGAGCCTCGGTGCCACCCCACTCTGGGCTCCTTCCTCTGTACA